ATATATACATATATATATATATATATATATATATATATATATATACACACACACACATATATACACACACACATATATACACACACAAACATATATATATATATATATATATATATATCATGTGTTGCAGACCTCTTGGCCATTTCACCCTTGTAAATAAGATCTTGATCTCAATGTTTTTTTTTTTTTATCTGGTTAAATAAAGAAACATAGGAAGGTGTAGAAAGGCAGTAAAAGCCCAGACAGTAGCTGAAATCTCTCAGTACTTCTTTAGCAACCCTCTGCTCCTCCTCATTGTAAATGAATATTTGCTACTTCATTCCCACATCTACATTAGCAGGATGATGAAGATGAAACCAGGGTGGACATTTCAGCAAGACAGGGATCCAAAACACAGCCAAGGAAACTCTCAAATGCTTTCAAAGAAAGAAAATCAAGCTGTAAAATAGCCAAGGCAATTACCTGACTTGAATCTAATCCAAAATACAAATAAAAGATCAGATTTGATAGATAAGACCCACAGCAACATCAAGATTTTTACACTCTGTTGACATCTCTTGAAAAAAAAAAAAAAAAGTCACACCTGAGCAATGCATGTGACTTCATCCTTCATCTGAGAGGCGTCTTCATGCTGTCATCACTAAAAAAAAGCCTTTTATATAAAGTATTAAATTTATTTCAGTGGTTCAGTATTTTCTCCTTGTGTCATTTCATTGGTATTACACAAATATTGTTTGGGTTTTTAGAAAATCTGGTTCAATTCTATTTATTCCTTTAGAAATATTATTCCCAGAAAAAAATAAAATAAAAAATAACGTGTTCAATAGTTTTTTTTTCCCCACTGTAAGTGCTTTCTGTCTCTCCTTTAAAAACTTTGTTAAAACCAACTGGAAATTGGTGTACTTTGGAGGAAATCTGTATGTCTTAATAATGTTGTTTCTTCTTTGTCACTTGTGGTATTGGCACAGGAAGGAAATGACCTTAATGGGTCAGACCCAGTATTGCTTAAGCAAAGTGTGTTGGGAGTTTGGCTTGGTACGACTGAAGTGAACAACCTTTCTCAGCCTGTTCAGCTCAAATTCAGAAACACCCATAACCAGGTCAGATCTCACATAAAGCACTCTCATAAATACACCTTAGCTTTGAGGACTTTGTTAATCAGTTGCCAGTTTTCAGTGAAGTACACCTTTATTATTGCAGACTGAAAATGGGATCTGTGTCTATTGGCATCTCGAGAAAAATGGCGGAGGTGAGTTGAACGTTTAAGCCATCTTCAGAGTGAAAGATTTGACTTGACAACACAATCTCATGGCAAATCGTAACTTTTTCATTTAGTGGCTAATTCGTATGAATTCGTACAATCTAATTCATACATTTTTGTACAATTTGCTCATCCCCCAATGACGGTTGGGATTAGGAGTGGGGTTAGGTGCCACGCCTCCTTTTTAAAATCGTACAATTTCGTACGCCAGAACTTGCACGAATTCGTAGGAGTTAGCCACTAAACTGGCAAAACGTAAAATACTAACGTTTTCTCGTGAGATCAGGCTGGACTTGATGTTTCATTAAAATGATAGTTCACCCAAAAAAAAAACTTCTGTCATCATTTACTCACCCTTTATTTGTTCCGAACCTGAGTGAGTTTCTTTCTTCTGTTTAACACTAAAAAAAATATTTTAAAGAGCAAGAAAACTTGTAACCATTCCCTGATGAAAAAAACAGCATAAACAAGCTTGTTGGCTGGTTTTAGCTGGTTGATTAGACTGGTTTTAGGGGGGTTTTGGCCATTTCCATTTCCAGCCTGGTTTTGGCCATTTCCAGCCTGGTCTTAGCTGGTCAGGCTGGGAGATGACCATCCAAAACCAGTTATGTCCAGTTTGGTTTAAGCTGGTCATTTTCCAGCCTGACTAGCTAAACCTGGTAGGAAATGGCTGGAAACCAGCCTGGAAATGGCCAAAACCCCTCTAAAACCAGGCTGATCAACCAGCTGATCAAGCTTAGGCTAAGTTAAGTTTTTTTTTCAGCAGAGTTGACCTTCATAGCATTTGTTTTTCCTACTATGGAAGTCAATAGTTTCTTCTTCAAAATATCTTAGTGTTCAACAGAAGAAAAAAAACTCAAAGGGCCCTATCAATCAATGCGGCGCAAAGCGCGACGCAATTGTGGTTAGCTTGTTTCAGCTCAGCGCAAGAATCGTTTTTGACGTTTTACATGACGCTGTTTAAATAGCAAATGCATTTGCGCTCATATGTGCGCCCATAGGCATTCTGGTCTAAAAAGGAGGCGTGTTAAGGCTCATTGCTGGCACGTTGCTATTTTGAGGAACTAAAATACACTGTTCAAAAGACTAGCTAAGAGGAGGTCTAAAGTCCAACCTTGATTAATACACATAGGATGTACAGCAATGAGCAAATATCTTTACAAATGAAAAATAATTAAAGGATTAAAATATTACAAAAATTATTTTTTTCCAGCCCATATAAAAACAAAAACCATACTTTCATGCCTTCTTCATATGGGCGACTTTTTTCAGTTTATTCAAAACAATTTGCTTTTGTATAATGTTATTACTATTATTTATTATATGCATATTTATATTTGTTTTATTAAAAACAAGCTTAGATTTGCCCACCTGTCAGATTTTAGACCATATGGGGCATAGCATGTGTACTTGGACACACTAAGTTTATGCGTACTTATACACACTAAGTAATTACTCATTCGTTTGCTGGAAATTAGAGTAGTTTTGAATCAAATCTTTGCACCTAACAAACAAAATTAATTATGTATAGGCTAATGGATGTATGTGCGTACAACACATTTCCCTATCCATGAGAGTGAAAGTGAAAGTAAAGAATGAGGAGGCTCATCTCTCATTCTCGCGCTGTGGATGCTCTGTTTAACTGTTTCCTCTCTAGTGAAGGGTTCAGTTTTTCTACTTACAAAGTCCATCATGTAAATAGCAAATGCGCTATGGCGCAACGCAACTGACTCTTAAAGGGAATGGGAGATGAGACTCTGATTGGTTTATTATCAAAACACACCTATAACTCATTAAGAGAATAAGCTCAACCCTGTTAGACCATTTTTCCATCCTCAAAATAGCAAAAGTGGATTCTAAAACACCCTTAATGCTTTTGCTTTGGACTTTGTGCATGGATCATCACATAGAGCCCAATGGTTTAGAACCACTTGAGGGTGAGTAAATAGTAAGTGACAATATTTGAGTAAACTACTCATTTAACAAAGCATATTCAGATAATTATTCTAAATAGGGGGTATTAGCAGACAGCATGCCAAATACACATCACTTTTTATTGATTTAAATATGTGTGAACTCATGACTTACATATATGAACAAAATAAAGTACCATCGTCTAGAATCTAGGTCATTCTCAGAGGCTGTGTTTAAAGACATTACAGCTAAACATGAACTAAATTCCAAATCAACGTGACCGATGCAGCCTCTTAGTGGTTACCACTAGCCAAGTTTTTGATCATACCATGACATAAATCTTTTTAGAGTATACAAAAAAACCCAAATGTGAATTAGGTGCTTTGATCATGAGGTTGTTTGAAGGGTTAAACCTAGTTACCAACAGTAAACAAGCCAAGCATAAGAGAGTCACATGGGTGTAGTGTTCTACATAACTTTTTTTCAAACAAGTCCAAAACCACCTAATGCAAGCGTAGACTATTTATTTATTTATTTATTGCAAATTAAGGCATTTTTATTTGACTTTTGCCATTTCCATCTCCATTTCTCATGCAATACTTCACTACTCAGTAGAGATACCCTGATAAAATGTATTCCAGCACAAGTGTTATGTAATCATTAAATAAAAAGTACAAAAATACTTGATTTTACTGATGTAATTAAGTTTAAAAAAGTAAACGCGTATTACCTGATGAATGTTCATTCATTCTGTGAGTTTTATTTAATACCCATATGTTCATCCTACTACTTAATGCTAATAAACAGACCAAAAAGTGAAATTGCTAAAATACACATACCTGTCAACCTGGCATTCTCCCATAAGTTACAGTTCTATCCCGCTTTCATCCCGTAAAGGTATTTTCCTGTATTTCTCATGTATTTTTTCTAAAAAAAAAAGGTGCCAATAGACATTAAAAAGCAGATCCTCCCTATCCGCAACCCATACTGCCGAACCACCAGGGGTGCCCCTTTCTCTTAAATGTGAATCTGTTCTGTGCTTTTATTTTATAAAGCATGAAAATACTTTTAGATAAATATAACATTTGAAAGATTCCCTTCCATTACAGGTGCCTTCGTAAGCAATCCTCTAGATGTAAACAGTCAGTTTACATCTAGACATGTCGTTCTTCGTTGTTTTTCTTTTTTACACAACAAATTTTGTCTAAAACGAACAAAAAAGTTAGGATAGCAATCGAATGCTTTCAGTTATAAATATATTCCACCTGTTATTTAATGTGATCAAGCTAAAAAATCTAAATAACACATTTATTCACTGCTCTTTAATCCGAATGTTTAAATTATAGAGTGATGAAAAGGTTAATGACATTTAATCATTTGATTCAGTTTCTTTTTAATCCTTATATATCTGAATAGGCTAAACTTATTTATTTGCAGAATCTTTTCTAATATATGTATCCTTTGTAAATAATAATAATTAATAATAATAAAATACTAAATACTTAGACCCTATTATTGACCATTTCAACTCCAGAAACAGCTCCAGATAAACATATTTAGTCATTTTGAGGGAGGAGGGGGGGGGATCCCTTATTTTCACATCCCAATGTTGACAGGTGAGTAAAAACAAAATGTGTTGAAATTCCAAGATTTCACAATTCACAATTGTGACATCTGTCCAACATCCCAGAATTGTGTATGTGAGTGTGTGTACATACTTATGTGGTTTACAAGGACATGAAACGTGGGTATTACCAAAGTCCCTTTAAGGGCAAGTCATTTCCCTTGGCGGCCATCTTTGAAACGTCTCTTGGGCAGTATGCTCGGGCATTCTGTCGGAATGGGAAACACCAAAATCTCTAAAACTACTTGCCAAGCTTTCGATTACATTTCAGATTACGAATAACCAATCAAATCTAACAACAGCTGTCCTGTTAGTTTCATTTCTAAATGTTCGTATCACACAAAATCTGCACAAACTCAAGTATGGTCCTAGCCTCTCCCCCGGAGAATTGTCATTGTATAGCGATCGCTGATTGGCTCCTGTACTAGAAGGCGGGGCTTTATTCGTTATATTGACAGTTACACTTTTCCCCATTCAAAAGTATACGAGTGACATGTCTTGCTGTTTCTCAATTCCAAACACACAAAGTTCGGACTTGTGTCCTTGGAAGTTCAGACTTTGAAAAACAAACTACCAAGGACGCGAGGACACAAGCACCCGGCTCATTTCTTCAAATGGAACAGCAGTGTACTTCGTCTCTTACTTCACCGTGGATTCATCAGTTTCACTGTACATAAACAATAAAATGATTTAATTATATAAAGCACTGGCTTATAATTAATATTATATTAATATTATAAATCTATACTTTTGATTTAAGAAAATGTAAACAAATCACTGTAATTGTGAAGTGAAATGGGTTATTATACACAGATGCGTGTCTTTTATCAATCAGATTTAATAAACTACAATGGACATTATACAAGTATAAAGTACAAGACGTGAATAATAGGAAATAAAGATAACGTTAAGCAATTTGGTAAACAAAAACAAACCTCGTACAACACGGTAACAAAATTAAAGACAATTATAAAAGGTAACAAAATAACACTGACAAAATAATACACCTGATAACAAATAACAGATAAGACCAAAAACTGCCCATTACATATGCAAAAGATGGATTAAATATCATGTTTTAACTACAATGGGTCAGTCACTCCTGCTCCTATATAATCAATTATTAGCCCCCTGAATTATTAGCTCCCCTGTTTATTTTTTTCCCTAAATTCTGTTTCACGGAGTGAAGATTTTTTCCAACACATTTCTAAACGCAATAGTTTTAATATCTCATTTCTAATAACTGTTTTATTTTATCTTTGCCATGATGAGAGTAAATAATATTTGACTAGATATTTTTCAAGACACTTCTACACAGCTTAAAGTGACATTTAAAGGCCTAACTAGGTTATGCGAACTCCACACAGAAATGCCAACTGACCCAGCCGTGGCTGTGAACCTGTGACCTTCTTGCTGCGAGGCGACAGCACTACCTACTGTCCCACCGAGTCGCCATAGGGACACACCTCCTGTCCCTTTAATTTAAAAAGCTTAAAAATCATATTAATGGGATCTTTTGAAGTAAAATATTTGCCCAGGTTTTGTGTCAGGGTTGGGTTTAGGGGTAGGATTAGGGTCATATAATAACCGTAAGACCATATACAGTTGAAGTCAGAATTTATGACTTGTACTATATTAGTTAAATGTTTAGTTTATGTCTAGTGTGTGTCATATTTTTTTTTTTTTTTAAATTGCACATTGGAGTATGGGAGAAACGCAATTTCAGTCTACTGTGTAATGTAATGTTGCATGGTTTGATTGACAATAAAGTTGACTTGACTTGACTTGACTAAAAAAAAGCTTTTATTCTAGCCAAAATAATACAAATAGGACTCTCTAAAAGACAAAATATTATCAGACATGCTGTGAAAATTTCCTTGCTCTGTTGAACATCAATCGCGAAATATTTAAAAAAGGAAAAAATTCAAAGAGGGGCTAATAAGACTTTAACAGTAATAATTGGTTGTTACTGTATTAAAAATGTTACCAGTATGGAGCGTTCTAGTTAACCATACAAGTGTGTGCATGTGTGTATATCACCAATATATTTTGTGTTTAATAGACATCTAAAAGACTAGAATTTCTAGAAAGACTAGAACAGTCAAATAGACCAGTCATCAAATAGAAACAGCATGTACCTGAGCTCAGTTAAGAGCTTCATGGGAAAGGCTGTGAATACTTCTGTACATGTGATTTTTCAGGGTTTTTTATTTCTAATAAATTTGCAACAATTAAAAAAAAAATCACATTGTCATTATAGGGTATTGTGTGCAGAATTGAGGAAATAAATCAATTTAATTAATTTTTGAATAAGACTGTAACATAAACAAATGTGGAAAAACTGCTGCTTTCCGGATGCACTGTATGCAGTTTATTTGTAATGTACTTAACACAAATAAACTACACTTTAATATCACTGATCAAACATGTAATGAACTTTGACAGGCATGTATTTAAAGTATATTTTACTTTTTTTATTATTATTATTATTTAGCAAAGTTAGCTAATCATTAACACATCTGAAGTAGGTCTATACTGACAATTGGTTTGGCTGCAGGAAACACATTACTAGTGTGCATCCGAAGACGAAACCATGCTGTATTTTAAGATGTGTGACTTTCAAGTTATATCTGTCAAGTTATTGTCAGCTTAGCGAGCTCAAACATGCAGTTTAATTTAGACTAGTGTTAAGCCTATGTATTAGTATTGAGAATTATGTGAAAACAATATTTAATAGGCCACTAGATCAAAAGAGTAAAAACAACTGGAATCCACAGCATAGTTAGAAGATTTAATGATGGATTTAAGTACGTCAATGAACAAATACAAGTCATATATACTATAAGTCAAGTATTAATAAATGCAATATTAAGTTTAACTCCCTAGTAAACAATTTTGTGTTTAATAGACGTCTAACAGACATCTAAACGTACATGTAGACAGCTTGGCTTAAACAAGGCTAAACTTGAGCTGTCAGAGAAAATCTAATAGTCTAAGAATAGCCTAAAACTAGACTAGTCATCTAATAGACAGATTAGACAGATTGTATATGTGTATCCATTCATTTCTGTTTATTTGATGACTAGTCAGATAGACAACATCTATAGGAAGTTCACTGGCAGGCCAAATTTTGTCTTGTTTTAGCCAAGACGACTATGTTTAGGCGTCAATTTGACATGTATTAGACATCTTTTAAAAACAAAAATGCTTGCTGGGTCTGCGAAGTAGCTAAAAAGTGAACTGAAAGTATACTTTATTTTTAGTTTAATAGAAATATATTAATATATTTCACATAAGAAGTACATTTAAGGGAAATTGATAACAAGTAAACTGGAAGTAAACTTTCTTATTGTTTGTTTAATAGATGTCTACTAATTGTACACACACAAACAATAAACTTCTTCGTAAGTGATTTCATGAGAGTAAAACACACTCAAAAATATTTCTGCTGCTTGTTCCAACAAGTTTAAATAACACAAATTTTGAGATGGGGGGGTGGGGGGAGAGAGAGGGGGGGGGGGGTTGCAACACAGGCTCATTGTGAATACCTACATACGTATATATTTCTAAAGAGGATGCATTATGTAGCCAAAGGTATGTATGGTAGCATTTAGGCTTTAAAACGAACGCTACGGGGTGGTATGAACCGCCGACAGCTTCTGTTTCTTCTCGCGCTACCAGCTGACGCCTTACCTCTGAGTTACCGCTGTTACCAGTTTGCCAAGTGGCTCGCTGCATACGTCGGCGGCCTGATGACGCAGAGTAGAGTTTAACATGACAACGGGGTTCAAAGTAAATCAAACACAAAAGCAGAAAATTAAATAAACATTAAATAACAGGGCGAGACATGGTAAGATCTGAAAACGTGGTAAAAAAAAAATCAGGTGGCTTTTCGGGACTGCATTTGAAAAACGGTTGGGTTATGGTAGGGTTCTGGCCTGGGGGTTGATCAGTCAGTCGGCAGTGGCCTCTGGTGGATTTAGGTAAAAACATTGAACACGAACGACATTCGCGAGAAAAATCTGAGAACTCAAAAAGCGTACACAGCAGCCACGGGTGGATTTATGTGAGAAGAGCAAGCGTGAATGGCGCTCGCGAGAGAAATTTGAGATCTGAAAAAGCGTTCACATCGGCCTCTGGTTGATTTGCGAAAACTAAAACTGCACAAAAAAAAAAAAATTAATTAAAAAAAAAATTTCTCCTGGGATGTATTCGGTGCTCTCCAGAAATGTATATAGGGTAACATATCCATAATTAGCCTGGGTTGTTTTTTTGGCACAACTTCGGTTCAGTCTACTTAAATTTGTCAAATCAATTAAGCTAACTAATCGATTTGTGTTGGGGAAACATGAAGGAATTATGTGGAACCCAGCATTTTCCACATTGCAGTCTCAATATCTATAGGCTACCTTATGCTTTAATGTAGACATTTTCATCTCTTTTTCAGGAAACTGGAGTACAGATGGCTGTAAGACTAATATCGACAATGGAGACTTTGTGTGCAGCTGTAACCATCTAAGCTTTTTCGCAGTCCTCATTGTAAGTTAAGCCTTTACCCATGTTTTTTAAATCTTTCAACTTAATCATGGCCGACTTATTTATTTTTGCCTGTTTGTCATGAATGTTTCTAACAGAGTCCTCAAATTCCAGAGAAGTCCCATATTGTCCATCTCAACTACATTTCATATGTTGGCTCTGCCCTTTCAATAGCATTCACATCCCTCGTAATAGTCTTGTTTCTGTGCCAGAGGTAAGCTGCTAAAAGATTTCGCACGAAACCATCCAGTTTCAGAATGCTCAATGGTCTAGATTGAAGAGATAACTTCTGCTACTGTCCTCCCCACAGGAAAAAACAATGCGAGCATTCACTCGTCATCCATGTGCAGCTCTCCAGTTGCTTATTCTTGCTGCACATCTCGTTCTTGTGCAGTGTGTGGTTTTCAGGCCATAGTGACTCTGATTCAGTGTGTCAGACTATAGGCCTTCTTCTGCACTGGTGCCTTTTAGCCACCTTCACCTGGACGGCCATTGAAGGCTTCCATCTGTACCTGTTGCTGGTGCGAGTCTTCAACATCTACATCAAGAGATACATGCTTAAACTAAGTCTCATGGGATGGGGTGAGTTTAGTTTCACGTTATGAATTTCAAAGTATTTGCCACACTCCACTTATCTTTTTTTTTTTTTTGGAAATAGGCTTCATTAACAACTCCCGTAGAGATGAACTGTAGATGTTTACCATTTTTAATCCATTCAGATGATTTCCAGGTCTGGCGGGAGCACTTATAGCTTAGCTTAGCATAAATCATTGAATCGGATTAGACCATTAGCATCAAAATAAAAATGTAAAAAGCATTTTGAATATTTCCCATTTTAAGCTTGACTTCTGTAGTTACATTGTGTCAAATTCCCAAAGCAAGTGATGCAACAAAGTTTGATTAAAAAAATCTTCAATGGTTATAAAAATCCTTATAGTCATTAAAATAATTTATAAAAAACAAAAAAATTATTTGTTTAAAAAGTATTGAATGATATTAATGATATGACGAAGTTCTGGAAACTTTTTTACTTCCCTGTTTATCCATCTGTCTTTACGGTCAGTTTCTTTGGACCGCCTACTGTCATTTTAAAGAAAATCACAACGGCGAGTATAAAAGCCTTATCCGTTTTGCGAGGAACGTGCACAGTCAGCGGAGGTGCGCCGAAAGTATAAATCTAGCTTAAGGAGGATGAGAGAGAGCTCTCGGATTTCTTCTAAAATGTTTTCATTTTTGTTCTGAAGTAAACGAAGCTCTCAGGGAAATGAGGACGAGTAATTAATACCAGAATTGTATTTATTTATTTTTTGATGAACTAATTAAGCCTTGCAATGTGTATCATAAAATCTGTTTGTTGTGTATTAATCATTTCCCACAGGTGTACCCACCGTTACGGCGATGATATGCGGCATGACTAAAGTGTATGGAAAATATACCCTCTACACAGATCAAGAAAATTCAACAGCCACATCGCTGTAAGCTAAAACTCTTCAAACTACTTATTAGCCCTCCTGTAAATATTGTTTTCTTTTTCAAATGTTTCCCAAATTATGATTAGTTAAGCAAGGCATTTTTCACAGTAATTCCTATAATATTTTTTCTTCCGGAAAAAGTCTTATTTGTTTTATTTCGACTAAATTAATAGAACTTTTACATTTTTTAAAAACCATTTAAGCTCAAAATTATTAGCCTCCTAAGGCAATATTTTGTCCATTATCTTCAGAACAAACCATCATTATACAATGACCTGCCTAATTACCCAAACTAGCAGAGTTAACCTAATTAACCAAAGTTAAGCCTTTAAATGTCACTTTAAGCTCAATACTAATATCTTAAAAAATATCTAGTAAAACATCTCATCATGGCAAAGATAAAAGAAATCAGTTATTAGCTGTTGTTCAATGGTTATAATTATCAGTTATAATTATTCACGAGGGCTAATAATTCTGAGTTCAACTATATACAGTTCATCACTTTTCAGACCTGTAACGAATGCTTCCATTGGCTTTTTACTGTCTAGATGCTGGGTGACCACAAACACAGTAATCTACATTACTGTAAATGGCTATCTGGGGCTGGTGATGCTCTTCAACATGGCTATGCTGGCAGTGGTTGTGGTAAAGATGCGTCAGTTAAGACAGCAGAATGTACAAATAGACCATCAGAAGAGGGCGTGGAAAGACTGCGTGTCTCTGCTGGGGCTCTGCTTTGTTCTGGGAGTGCCGTGGGGTCTGGCCTTCTCAACCCACGGACCCCTGAGTCTCCCTGCGCTGTATGTTTTTACCATCCTCAACAGTTTTCAAGGTAAGAATTTGGCACGGTGTTCATTGAAACAAAAGCATGTAAAAGGGGTTACCTTTTCAGAATTTGGAACTGAATGGTCCATACTGGCACCTTAATATTATATAACAGTTGCTGATTTTCAAGTAACTTGAAATTTTTAGGTACTAGTACCTCCAAGGTACTAATATGGACCCTTTAGGTACAAATGTTCAGTTCAGTACAGCTGTTTAATGATTAATCAATACACTGAAAAAATAATGTCTGCAAAACTGTTGCAAACTATTTATTTGTGTTGAATTGAAACAAATTAAATTGAGTAAAATTCGACTTAATTTGTTTGTTTGTTTAAATTCAGCCCAAATAAACAGTTTACAGCCACTTTACGAAAAAAAATTTTGTAAATCCAAGGAATCATTTCTGAATAATGTTTTTCAGTGTACTTATCGCATATAAAAAAAAAAGTTTGTATTCATAAAACATTTGTTCATGCATTGTTTATGTAAATATAAATGCACAAACAAGCATATGTTCAAATATTTAAAATAAAATTAAACCGCAATAGCAATTTCTTTCAATATTATCGTGGTTGTGACTCAATAAAATCATAGGTCTTTTGGTGAAAAGTTTGCTCAGGCGAATGGAGCGAATGGGAGTTAGCGGAAACTAAAATTTTCATCAGCCCAAGCGTGGCCATCATCCTTTGCGGTCTGTTGTCGCTACAGATCCAGTAATGCAGAAATGGAGGATGCTGCTAGTAGCGGCAAAGAAAAAGAGCTAAAAATGGTCGAACCTAAACGGGTTTTAAATCAGATGTGTGGAAGCATTTCATGTATTCTCTGAAAAGAAACAAGAAAGAAGAAAAGGTGACAGAAAAAAGGGTATGCAGGCACTGCCAGACTGTGCTGAAATACAAGTCGGGAAATACGACTAACATGATGGGGATTCTTTTAGTCAAGGGGACAGCAGAACACAGCACACTGCTCAGATTGATGGAGACATTGACTTGTACCACCAAGAGACCACTATCTCACTCATGGCTTGTCCTTTCGAGTGGAGTTTTTTTTTTTTTTTTTTTTGCATGGTTTAATATTTTTTTGTTATTAAAATTGAATAATTTAGTTCCTGTTTGAATGTCATTGATCGGTTCAGTGTTGAGGTAACCTGAACATTCTAGCACTTTTTTTGAGTCTCTTCAATAGTTTTGTTTTTCCTTTAAATGATTCAATAAATACCGTACCGTGCCATTCATACCGAGGTATTACCGTATCGTGAAATTTTGATACCGTTACATCCCTAATATATATATATATATATATATATATATATATATATATATATATATATATATATATATATATATATATAGTGATTCCCAGGTGTAAAAGCCACAAATAATAACTTGATTTTTAGTTGATCATTTGGAAAAGTGGCAGAGAGTAGATTTTTCTACTGAATCATCTGTTGAACTGCATCCCCATCATCACAAATACTGTAGAAGATCTATTGGAACCCGCATGGCCCCAAGACCCTCAGAGAAATCAGTCAAGTTTGGTGAAGGAAAAATCATCTTTGGGGTTACACTCAGTATAGGGGTGTGAGAGTTCGGCAGAGTGGACGGCAACATCAACAGCCTGAGGTATCAAGACATTTGTGCTGCGCATTACATTACAAACCACAGGAGAGGGCAAATTCTTCAGCAGGATAGCGCTCCTTCTCATACTTCAGCCTCCATGTCAAAGATCCTGAAAGCAAAGAAGGTCAAGGTGCTCCAGGATTGGCCAGCTCGGTCACCAGAGATGAACATTATTGAGCATCTCTGAGATAAAATGGAGGAGGCATTGAAGATGAATCCAAAGAATCTTGATGAACTCTGGGAGTCCTGTAAGAACGCTTTCTTTACCATTCCAGATGACTTTATTAATAAGTGATTTGAGTCATTGCAGAGATGTATGGTTGCCGTCGTCCAAGCTCATGGGAGTCATACAGTACACAATATTAATTCTTTTTCCACTGCAGCATGACTTTATATTCTATACTGGACATTATTTCTGTTAAGTGACAAGACTTTTGTCTAAGCAAAGTCAGACCTTACTGTCCTAATTAAATAATTAAAAATCAAGGCATGATCATAATTTATTTAGTAAAAATAGGCGTAATCTAGATCATATTCAGATAGATATAAGATTCATATAAGCCACTTTTGATACCAAATGATCAAGTAGAAGTCAAGTTAATATTTGTTGTTCCTAAAACTTAGGTGACAAGACTTTTGTCAGGTAGTAGTACTTAATATTTTAAGTGGATCAAAACCTTTCAAAGTTGTATTAAGACTATTTATACTATTTATTTAGGACAAGTTTAAAAAACTTTATTGAACCACTTCAAATGTTGACTACCAACTAACCCCAGAATTTTAAAAAACAGATGCGAGGCTTAACCATAGCAAATGTAGGCCCAGTTTTACACACAGGGCTTAGATTAAGCCAGGACTACGCCTTAGTTAAATTAGGCTATTTAAGCCAAGTTTGCAAAAATGGCCCAAGTAAAATGAATTACTGGTGTGCACATGGAGGAGAAAAAAATACACTGATGTATTTTACGACATCTCACTGCAAGTTATTTTGAGTTGAGACAGCTCAAACATGCAATTTAATCCTGACTAGCCCCAAACCTTGTTTGTGAAACAGGAAGGTTATGTTTTAAAAGGAAAGTTCACTAAACATAACCACAATTCTAAACAGATTACACTGAAACTAGTGTGTTTCATGGAGAGGTTCACAATTAGCAGGGAAGAAATTAATTTTCTTACCTCTTCACCTAAAAAAGAAGCTTGGGCATCACTGATGAAATTTTTCTGTGCCAATGTTTATAGCATAAGAGTATTCTTTCGCTGTTCAAATACTAATTCTGCTGTTGTTTAATCTGGGAAGAAGAACAATAAGTATTACCACACCAAAAAACAATTACAGGCATCAAAATTAAGCTACACAATGCTAGTGAATCCACAGAGTCAGCAGCCAATAAGAAGTGAAGTTTCATAAACTAATTTCGAGAGGAGCACGTGATATGATTGTGCACCGCTGGCCACTCATCCGTAATCAGTAATAATCCAATGAGAATGATCCTAGCTTAATATAAATGGATCACTTTCTCCTTATTGCACTATCTTCGTTTTGGAAGAATCCCCCCTTCCACCCCATCTCCTCCTTTTTCTCCCCTTCTAAAGGGGGAGCGATCAAGACCTACCTGATCTCAATTCTCTTGATATGCTTCTGGACCGGGCGAGAGCCCTGGGATCAAATACCTCCGAGCTCAGGGTTCTCTTCCAGGACAGCATGCCAAACCTGCTATAAGTGCCAAGCATATCTAAGTGGGAACTCTTGAAACATGTTTCACGTCATTTCAACAAGACAAAATCCTACATTTATGAGTAGAGGCTAGATTTGACCACTCCAGACACTTTAAAATGCCCTTCATATAGGACAGCCACTGTGTCATCAGTCATGGTAATAATCAACAAGTTTACAGAGCTGTTACAGTATATTTAAATATATTCAAATTCCAAAAGAAATGAGATATACTTTCACAGGTGTGTGCTGATATGTGTTTCACATGTATTAAAAGCGCCAATGCCTATTCCATGTTTTATTCTGTTTGTTTAGCAAAATCATGTGCTGCCATTTATTGCAATACACTGACATTTATTGACATTTATTGCATTACACAGTCAGGTCAAGATGTGACTTTAAATAAGCAAATTGTACAGTTAATGATTAGATCTTTATTGCAGTGATTAATCCTAGATCGTGACCATAATGGAGTCTTTCACGCAGCATCAGTTATGGGTTAAAAATATTTGTTGCTAAACTTGTAACCGGTAAGACATACATTTTTACTGCAATAGCGACTCCTAGTATTTTACAGAGTAACTTTCTTTGTTTTTGGACAAGTACATGTGTAAATTGTATGCCTGTATTAAGTCACTGACACAAACTGGACTGTCTGGACTTGGACTGTCTTTGACCGTTCCAATAACTGAGGTAAAGTTGGTTTTATTTACGCACATTCATTCAGTGACATCTTTAATGTGACCTACATTGTTTACCATGATACTTTGAATATTTGGTCTGAAATCATATGTATGACTTGAAAACAACATTAGCATTATTTAATTCACTGTGAACAATGTTGTACTTTAATAGTCATTGGCTGTAAATATGATTTCACTATTTAGAATTTACAAATAATTATTTTGTGAAATTATATTAAGTATAGGGGCTAGGCAGTGGCGCAGTAGGTAGTCCTGTCGCCTCACAGCAAGAACCTTGGCTCAGTTGGCGTTTCTGTGAGTAGTTTGCATGTTCTCCCTGCCTTTGCGTGGGTTTCCTCCGGGTGCTCCAGTTTCCCCCACAGTCCAAAGACATGCGGCACAGGTGAATTGGGTAGACTAAATTGTCCGTAGTGTACGAGTGTGTGTGTGAATGTGTGTGTGAATGTTTCCCAGAGATGGGTTGCGGCTGGAAGGGCATCTGCTGCGTAAAAACTTGCTGGATAAGTTGGCGGTTCATTCCGCTGTGGCGACCCCGGATTAATAAAGGGACTAAGCCGACAAGAAAATGAATGAATATTAAGTATAAAGTCTGAATGTGTGAATATCAAACCAACTTTACCTCTATGTTCCAATATGGAGAACAAAAGTGCTTCAGATATGGCATTTCATTAAAGTGACTTATTTGTTTGGTCTTAATAATTTTCATTTCATAAATAATATTTTGGAGAGTACAGTAGCTAAATATATTATTCAAGTATAAATATGTGATGGCTTTTAATTGTTGTCAGTTCTTTACCAAGTAATAAACAGCCTACCATAATAGTTTGTAGATCATAATGACCCTAAAGGTTTTATAAATATAATTCACACAGCTGTCAGGTTAAACACCAATTACTGCAGTTGCAAACAAATAAAGTATCATATTATGACTGAACAGAAAGCATGTGCTTTTTGTAACAATGTAGCTTTCAGGAAGGTCAAAACAATCCTACAAACTGCCCTTGCATTGTTATGTAGACTCCAAACAAACGATACTGTCTTATTTCAGTAAGAATTGTTAGTTTGTGACTACCTTGAAAGCTGTAAGTGCACTCAGCTTATGTCCACGTAGCCTATGTAGCTGACGGCGACCTCCGGTGGTGATTTAAAGTGTTTGCTGCTATAGTAAAATACGTATTTACTTCATATTTGCAAGCAAAATGTTATGACAAATCACACCGAGGTCAAAACTGACAAAGTTACAAAATCAGTGACAAATTCACGCGCAATTACTTCCCTATTCCTTAACGTCTCTTCTTGTAAATAACATATTCACTTATGACAAACCACTACAAGCTCTGGCAATCTCCCGCCTTCTATTTTTGACTCGTTCATTAACCGTGAAGGCCGCCACTGAATAAAAAAAAAATTATTAAACAAAATATGATAGCAAATTTTTACAATTGCGATACAAACACGCAATTCTGACTATAACTTGCAATTTCGAGTATGTATCACTCAATTCTAAGATTAAAAAGTCGCAAATTACCTTTTTTAATTGTTTTATTTAGTGGCTGGCGATAACGGCTTCTAGGCTCACAAAATGTAACAGAAAAAAAAATTCCCATGACTTCTGTTTTGTGCCCATTTGTAAAATGTTCACTGATGTAAAATCTATATCCTCTGTGGTCATCTGTAAATATGGCTTAATCAATCAATCAATCAATCAATCAATCAATCAATCAATCAATCAATCAATCAAACAAACAATAATATTGGGCAATTATCTCATTGCCACGTGATATTTAAATAACTTGTTAAGAAAACACTTTGTGTCAATTTTACTTTATATTGTGTGCATGAATACCATTTTGGACCCATTGGCTGGAGAACAGTAGGTTTGATTAATTTGTAGTGTTTTCAACATTACAACAATGATGGCAATTAAGATACGTGAATGCAAACTTAGATTCATTTAATCTCAATCCTTAATCTTGTTTACAATAGAATTTGGGTTTGAATACTTTTTTGTTATCCGTTTATAGTTTGCTTTTAAATTCTGGTTTCAATCACATGAGGATTCTTCACATTACACATGACATATGAGTCCAATAAAATCAAATGTTTAAATATTTCTGAATTAGCACTATTATCTAACACCACTGGATGAAAAAAAGCTTGTTGAGACCAGTGTGTGTGTGTGTGTGTGTGTGTGTGTGTGTGTGTGTGTGTGTGTGTGTGTGTGTGTGTGTGTGTGTGTGTGTGTGTGTGTGTGTGTGTGTGTGTGTGTGTGTGTGTGTGTAAGAGAGAAAGGAAGAAAAAAAACACATAATAGGCTATTGTGATTATTTGGGTGTTGCTTTAATTGGTAGGCTATTAGTCATTCCAAATAAAATAATCAAATGTGTATGCTTTACAATAAAGTTAATATGTGAAGTAGGGTCTTTTTAAAAATATTGATTAATGCAAAAAGTGTACAATTTCATCGCTTTTCATTTCATCCTACAGGTGTCTTTATTTTCCTGTGGATATTGACTCTCACATGTAAAGCACGGAAGGAGAAACAAACCTCATCCAAAGGCACCATCCAGGTCAGCTACCTGAGTAATGAAGAATATGTGACTTCCAAAACAACCAACAGCTGATTGCACTGGGGAGTTTCAGAAACTGACTCTTCAATGACATTATTAATTATTAATATTATTAATAATGTTTTTTGACTCATTTGGACTTTTGGGGGGGTCCACAAGTCCCAGGGACCTGCAAGGGAGCGTCATGTAAGCCTAATTTTGTGGAGGAAAGTATTTATTTTAAGAGTCTGTTTTTCATTGAAGTTTAATTGAGGAATAGTTTGTATTTGTTGGATTTTCAAACTTTTGATTGTAGCAGTTTTTTCGCAATTAAATATTTTAGAAGTATAAAATAGTTTTAACACTGGATAGGAGAAACCCTGTTGACTATTTTTTACCTTTTAAATCACGTTACACATTGTACAATGACAAAAATAAAATATATATTTTTAGTAAACAGTATTGTACTTTTTTCCAGATGTGCACAGATGTTCCATGTGTTTTCACGCCAGTGGCGTACTGTAACTAATTACAAATGCTCAAATTACTGTAATTGAGTAGTTCTTCTCAGAAGAACTAGTAATTTACTAAGTAGTTTTAAAAATGTGTACTTTTACTTTTCCTTGAGTACATTTTTAGCGCAGTATCAGTACTTTACTCCACTACTTTCCTTCAACCTGCAGTCACTACTTTATTTCTTTCTCGTCTATGGGGATTGGCTAAAGTAGAAAAATCAGTCCTGTAATTCCCGTCTAATCAAATCACACATAGAAAGTAAATCACATGATATTGAACATCAACACATTGGCGCTTTATAAATGCAGCAAACCTTTTAGAAGCATTAAAAATATCCAAGAAGATGTTCCAAATATTTACACACATTCAAGAGTTCACACTTAGCTGATGATTGATTATAAGCAAGTTTGGCATGCTGTCCCGGGAGAGAACCCTGAGCTCGAAGGTTCTTGAGCCCTGGGCTCCCTCCCGTTTGGAGGAAGAGAGGGGAGCCTCGAGCTCAGGTAGATCTTGACAACTCCCCTTTTTATAATAGCTAAAGATTAAGATTGAAGGCTATTAAAAGATATGCTGCATTATTAGATTACCTGTATTGAAATTTAGATTTAACGATTAACTTGTTGTGCATGTTTTTGGAATGTGGGAGGAAACCCACGCAAGCACGGGAAGAACATGCAAACTACACACAGAAACGACCACCGGCCTGTTAAGGAACTAGAACCGGTGACGTTCTTGCTGTGAGGCGACAGTGCTAGTCACTGAGCCACCGTGCTGCCCTATGGAGGGAAAGGTGAAAAGGTAGGGGTGGAAGGGGGGATTCTTCAAATCGAAGATGACTGTAGTGAGAAAACCCTGGCTCTTTATAGTGGTTAGGAAAGGCCTGATTGGTGGATCAAGCATGCTAATGCAGAACCAGCCGAGTTCAATCATAATCACGTGCTCCTCTCGAAATTAGTTTATGAATAAACTTCACTTGACGCACCGTCTTTTAATAGACTGAATGTCACCGATAAGAAAATAGATGTCGACTGTATAAAAAAACTATCACTAAATGGAACGAATGAAAAATGGAAGGAAGGACCGAACGAAGGAAGGACTGAACTAATGAAGGAAGGAAGGGCCAAATTAATAAAGTAAGGATTCAAGGAAGGACTGAACAAACTAAGAAAGGAACGAACGAATGAACAAAGGACCTAATGAAGGGAAAACCAAAAATAAGAATGAGCAAACAAATGAAGGGAGGAATGAAGGACAAACAAATTAAAGAATGAAGGAAGGACAGAACGAACAAACAAATGGAAGAAAGTTGGAAGAAACAAACGAATATAGGAAGATTACTAAATGCACTAAAGAATGTTCTGTTTACACATCACTGCACAAACTGCATGTAAATGCAAAACAACTTTTTATGGCGTAATACTCATTCACTACTCTTGAGTACTTTTAAAATGCCTACTTTTTATTCATACTTTGAGTAATTTACAACAAATACTTTTACTTTTTTAGTAATGGTACTTTTATTTAAGTATGATTTTTCAGTACTCTTTCCACCACTGCTTCTCGCACACAAAGATTTAGTGTAAAAAATGAGTTCACAGAGAAATTGTTAGAAAATGTCAAGTTTAGGAACAAATTTATCTTTATTTTTCACTTTATTAGGTACACCTTACTAGCACTTGGTTGAACCCCCTTTTCTGAACTGCCTTAATCCTTTGTAGCATAGATTTAATAAGGTACTGGAAATATTCCTCAGAAATTCTGGTCCATATTGACATGATAACATCAAGCAATTGCTGAAGATTTGTCAGCTGCACATCTATGCTGCGAATCTCCCGTTACACCACATCTCAAAGGTTCTCTATTGGATTGAGATCTGGTGATTGTGGAGGCCATTTAATTGCAGTAAACTCATTGTCATGTTCAAGAAACCAGTCTGAGATGTTAAGTGAGCGGGAATAAATCTGCTTTGTACTTTTTTATTCACTTTTATTCAGGCTTATTTATTCATTTATTTCCCTTTAGCATAGTCCCTTTATTCACCAGAGGTCACCACAACGGAATGAACCGTCAACTATTCCAACATATGTTTTACGCAGCGGATGCCCTTCCAGCTGCAACCCAGCACTGGGAAACATCCATACAAACTCATTCACACACAAACACACACTACAGCCAATTTACTTTATTTAATTCACCTGTAGCACGTCTTTGGGCTGTGGGGGAAACGGAGCATCTGGGGGAAACCCATACGAACACGTGGAGAACATGCAAACTCCACACAGAAATGCCAACTGACCCAGCCAGGACTCAAACCAGCAATCTTCTTGCAAACCATTGAGCCACTGTGTCGCCCTATTTATTTATATATTAATTTACTTTATGGCAATTAATCATAAATTTCTTTTCAGGTTTCTTTTAAGAGCAGAAAGGCATTTGTTTAAAATAGAAATACTTTTGTATTACAAATGGCTTTAAAAGGATAGTTCACCTAAAAATTTAATTCTGTCATCATTTACCCTGCCTCCACTTTTTCCCTGTTTCTTTAAAGATAAATCTTGGAAACCAGTATTAATTTCCATGTTGTTTGTTTTCCGATGTCAATGCTTGAGTGTCCAACATTATTTTGTGTTCACTAGAAAATTAAATATAATTTTTTAAAAAAGCCCGCTTTAGGACTGCCAGAATTAGTAAGTAAAAATACAGATGGACTATTCCTTTCTTTTATAAAAGTAGTTTTATCAATTAACAAACATTATCTGGCTGTAACATTCACAAGACACAAACAACGTGGTGTAATAAATGCTGGTTTATCATCAAGATGTGACGTCACCATAAGGGAAATCTCGTGGTAAGACCTCTGAAAAAAAAAATCAAAACACCATGTGTCATGGGTTAGTATTTTTGGGAACTGAGACTTAAACTGCTCAGAAAAATAAAAGGGAACACTTAAACAACACAAAGTGACTTCAAATGTTCTTTTGAGCAGTATATGATCAGAAAATAAATGCATTAGCTTTCCATTGATGTTATGGTTTTGTTACAGGACAGTATTTGGCCGCGATATTGTTATTTGAAAATATTGAGGGTTCAAAAAAAATATATATATATATATATTGAGAAGATCTATTTAAAAGTGGTCCAAATTAAGTTCTTATCAATAAATATCACTAATAAAAAATAAAGTTTTTATGTAACTATGGTGGAAACCCTACTGAAAAAAAAAAAAACGCTTAAACCAGACTATGATGGTAGCCAGTCTGATGTTTGAGAGGTTTTCTAGGCTGGTTTACAGACATTTCCTTCGTCTTAGCTGGTCAGGCTGGGAGATGACCAGCTAAAACCAGTTTGACTAGACTAGCCAACTAGTCAGGCTGGCAGACCAGCCAAAACCAGCTATGTCCAGCTTAAACAAGGCTGGTCAAGCTGGTTTTAGCTTGTCATTTCCCAGCCTGACCAAAATGAGGCTGGAAATGTCTGAAAACCAGCCTAGAAATGGCCAAAATCCCTCTAAAACCAGACTGGTCAACTAGCTGGTTTAAGCTTTTTTTCAGCAGGGAAATTTGCTAAAATGTCATCTTTGAACATATTTATATCTAATATTTGATAAAACACACACACACACACACACACACACACACACATAAACAATACGTTTGGTGGTCCAGGAATACAGTGATGTGTTGTTTCTTTTAGTATTTTTGTACAGTTGGAAACATGTCTCCAGTAAACAGGGAGCAAATATATACATTTGCGATCACGGGTAAGTTGTCAGTGAATCAAATGTATCTATTTATTTAAAATTATTCCAAATTTATTAGGACGTATTTTAGTTTTCAGTGTTTGAGTAATATTTAATATGTTCTGACATACAGTAACCTCTAATTATTTCAAACAACGCGTCCAACTGTACTTTAATTTTAGGTTATATGTAAATATAAACACCTATATTACATGAAAAGTGTCCCGTGACCACTTCCATCGCTGCTCTAGATCTCAGTGGCGTAGCGGACGGGCCCGCAGGGCACGCACCGCGGGGGGGCCCCGCGTAATTAGGGGGCCCCGCGTCGTCGCGATTTTCAATAAACTGTTGGGAACAACTGTGGTCGGAACCAAAGTTCACACGTCTGTGTTCTCTGAACACCTCTCAAGCGGTGGACTACTTCATTCTGATTGCTTGCCGCCAATGTTGCCAACTTAGCGACTTTGTCACTAGATTTAGCGACTTTTCAGACCCCCCTAGCGACAAATCTAGCGACTTTTTTGTGTGTTATTGGAGATTTTTTTAGACTGTCATTTGTCCATACTGTACCGTCCCTACTCTTCTCAACGATCTGCGTGTGATGCCGCCGGCCCCTCCCCCGCCTCACAGCACTGACAGGCGGCCCAGTCAGTCCTCGTACAGCAGCCTCTCCCACCTGCAGCCCGAGAGCAGCTCACACCTCTGCGTACCGACGACAAATGATTTAGCACAGGCAGTGTGAAGGTATTTCCCTTGTACAGTCAAACCGATCTACTTCTACTTTATTTTAACAATTTAATTGGACCGTTTATTCTTTTCTTGTTCACAATCACAGATACTTTAGTGACAGTTTCTGAACTTGTCTGAGTTTATTTCACATGAGAGATTACTGCACATTCACTAACGTTACACATCTATAATGATATACTGTATTCAAACAGCAATAAATTTAGTTAAATAAACATGCTTATATAAAGTGTAGTGCAATTATAAATACCCCTTTATTAACCATGGGCTGTTAAACAGAAACGGTAGAACGTGATGACGTCAGTGATATGCAAATTGACGTATGACGTATCCAACCCCCCCACCCACCCCCCCCCCCCCCCCCCCATCAGGGGGCCCCCTCAACGATCCCTGCAGGGGGGCCTCCGCATTTTGCGCTACGCCACTGCTAGATCTGCTGGTGTGTTGAATGATTCTTTAAAGATTGCTTGGCGCGATTAATGGTATAAACCATTATAGGGGTGGTCAAATTTATAAATGTGTTATCTATTACTTTCATTAATATTATTATTATTATTATTTAAGATACAGATCAGGGAAAACTACTTATTACTATTAAAGGGCTGACCCCCCATTCATCTTGTTTTGATGTCCTCCAGAGGAATCAAGCGCTAATTAAGGGGTTCAACACCCCCAAACCCAAACTTAGACCCTTTACTATATGTTTTGATTAACCGTTGTTGAATATTCTTTGGTGTGCTTTATGAACGTTTTGCGCCATCTAGCGACCACAAAGTATAATACATAATGTTTTTGTATCTATTATTTAAATTATTAATAATTTTATTTAAGATACAGATCAGGGATAAATTCTCTTATGTTAAATGGCTATTCTTTCTGTGACGTGCTTTCTGAACATTTGGCGCCATCTAACGTCCACAAAGTAAAATTCATAATACTCAGGTAGGCTGTATGTTTACATGATGCTCAATGTCTTAAAAAAATTCTGACCCTACCATCCAAATGTTGCAGCAGAAATCGAGACTCACAAGACCAGGCAACGTTTTTCCAATCTTCTATTGTCCAATTTTGGTGAGCCTTATCTGACAGGAGTGCCACCCGATGTGGTCTTCTGCTGCTGTAGCCCATCCGCCTCAAGGCTGGATGTGTTGTGCATTCAGAGATGTTCTTCTGCATACCTCGGTTGTAACGAGTGGTTATTCGAGTTACTGTTGCCTTTCTATCAGCTTGAACCAGCCTGGCCATTCTCCTCTGACCTCTGGCATCAACAAGGCATTTGCGCTTACAGAACTGGTCTGGCACCAACAACCATGTCACATTCAAAGTCACTTTAATCCCCTTTCTTCCCCATTCTGATGCTCGGTTTGAACTGCAGCAGATCGTCTTCACCATTACTACATGCATAAATGCATTGAGTTTCTGCCATCTGAATGGCTGATTAGAAATTTGCGCTAACGAGCAGTTGGACAGGTGTACCTAATAAAGTGGCCGGTTAGGGAATTTTTGTATTATCTATTATTTTAATTACGAGTGTTATTATATAAGATACAGATCAGTAAAAAAAACTCTCACTATTGAAGCGCTGACCCCCCATACATCTTGTTTTGACATCTTTCAGTGGGGCATCAAGCATTAGGGGGGTCAATCTCTCCAAACCCCTCTGTAATTTGCACCCTGCTAGCATGTGATGTGCTTTCTAAACGTTTCATGAGCTTTCTATGATGTTCTTTCTGTTGTCCACAAAGTATAATTCATATATTTACAGTCAAACATTAGACAAGACCAAAAAAATAAGACAAGACAAACAATTCTTTTAAAAAATTTTATGAAAATACCAACGTGAGGAAAATTGCGATACAAAATTTGATCAATGGTAATATTAAAAAAAAAAAGAAACGTATAAAAAAAGAAAGTGCACAAAAACTTCTTTACAGCATTAATAGTACAGACAGCTTTGAATAAATAGCATAAGTTAAAAATGACAAATTAACGCAATGAAATGACCAGCTAAATCTCTGGTAAGGCACGCCGACAGAGCATGTGCCGTTATTAATAGTTAAAAAAAACATTTTCCCTGAAATTTCATCGACATCTTGTATTTGCCCTCATGCATTTTAACAACAAGAGCGTTGAGTCGACAGTAAAGCGGACTCAAAGTATTGCTGGTGAATAAAAACAAACATTCATTCAAATAATACACTGAAAAACAAACAAAAATGTTAACCTTCTAATCCAATTAAAACTCCACAGTCCTGCCAAACACCATTTTTTTTGCTTCTTTAAACAAAAGGCTATTTTGTCATATAAAACATATCAATCCAAAGACAAAAGAACACATAAAAGGCTGCAGTCAATACATCAAGGCTGAAAGACTGTACAATTTCATCTTGGATTATACCTTTAGTGTACATATTAAAAACACAAAATTAAAAATGCGGTAAAAAACACAGTGTAAAGCCTGGTCGGAAATTCAGTATTGTCTGCTATTACGCAATATTATAACACTCATCCAACAACAAAAGAAAACACAAACACCACCAACAGTCAGAAAACTGATCATGCCAACAAATACATTATGCATGCTTTCATAAGCTATTGTGTATAATGATAACCGTTTAAATACTCTGAGATAATGTAGCTTTGCATCTTGGTTATTTTTAAAGATTTACAGACCCGTAACCGTTTCTTTTAAACATCGAGAAACATCTTTTATGCCAAACCAGAAAGAGGAGATTTCGTAAGCATATGTCCATATTACAGACCCAAAGCTGAGGTGAATTCACATTGTGAATATTGTGCCCAAGTCAAACAATTCATATTGGTAAATGTATGCGTGTGTGATGATGATAGACAACAGTTCAATCAGACTGCAAAACGGAGTAAAATATTGTATTTGCTTTAAAAGTACACCCATCTCATTAATGCCTTGGCTATAATGTTAGATACAGCACTTTTTTTTTTACACATCATTCATCTGTAACCCGTGAAACTAAATGCCAAATAGAAGTCTTTTGGTGCACTGGTATGGAAAATAAGATTATATTTACAGAAACACTGGTAACTCCAAAAACAAAATGGAAAAAAATATATATTTTACAGTAATGATAAAAAAGGATTACATTAAATTGTCCTAACTGAGACCTATAAATATGTCCTAATGCCCAAATTATTCTCCTTTTTTCCATTATATAAAAAAAAGATACAAAAATTGTACAAAAGTTCATAAAAAAATACAAAAAGCAAGGGTGGTGGGGGGGGACTGAACTCATACACAAGTCATCTAACATAGGGGAGATATCGGAGTCTACCACTGGAGACAAAAAAGCTATGAGGGCCTCAACGAGACGGATCACCAGGCCTCCTTCAGATCCTCTGGAAGCGTCTGAGAGACTGAGGAGGTTGGCAGAGCGGGGCGCGCTTTTTGTTACAGCAGGGCTTGAAGAGACGAGGATCGATGATCACCTCACCGAAACGGCCCTTGTAGACGATCCCACAGCACACCTTTTGCCTGGAAAGCAAGGACTGGGTTATTCATCAGCTCAACCGTTAGCATGTCTCCTGATATGAATTAGTAAACGGAGGAAGTGGGGGGGTGGGGGGGGGGGCATACCTCTTCCAGTAGGACAGGTCGAGGAATGAGAAGCCAGATGGCGTTGGACGTCTCTGTTTGGTCTCAATGTCTGAGCCGTCATCAGATTGATTACTGTGACTGGGAGACTGAGAGGGAGACATACTGGATGTGGTGCTGTGGGCATCGGAATCTGGAAACATACCACATGAAACATTTTAATATGATATATGAAGCTTGCTTTTTGTTTTTGTGCTCTTAAATTAGGCTTTTTAAGACTTCCATAAATACAAAATGTGTATTTACACTAATGCTGACAAACAATTCATATTTACAAACTGTATTTGTGGGTACTGTATATTTACAAATATGCATGACTTTATAATGACTATAAATACATTACAAATTTTAATTAGCAAATATCTCCTTTTTATGAGGGCATATTTATACATCTATAATGTCAGAATGGTCTGTCTATATATATATATATATATATATATATATATATATATATATATATATATATATATATATATATATATATATATATATATATATATATATATATATATATATATATATATATATATATATATATATATATATATATATATATATATATATATATATATATATATATATATATATATATATATATATATATATATATATATATATATATATATATATATATATATATATATATATATATATATATATATATATATATATATATATATATATATATATATATATATATATATATATATATATATATATATATATATATATATATATATATATATATATATATATATATATATATATATATATATATATATATATATATATATATATAAATAT